TCCGCATCATAAAATGCAGTAAGAGTGAGGGAGCCAGGTGTGTAAAACAAACCATGTGAGAAGGTGAATTTCAAGTAGCGAAGAATCCGTTTAACTGCCATCCAATGAGTAGAGGTTGGACAATGCAAGTATTGGCACACTTGATTGACGGGAAAGGCCAAATCAGGTCGAGTGAGAGTTAAGTATTGAAGAGCACCGACAACACTTCGATATTGAGTAGGATCTTTCAAAGGCTCACCATCATGGAGACTGAGACGACGACCATGGGCTACTGGAGTAGAGACAGGTTTGGCATCCAACATGTGAGTACGTTGCAGCAAATCATAAGCATATTTAGATTGGGAAAGAAATAACTTGTCCTTGGTCCGATCGGCCTCAATGCCAAGAAAATAGTGAAGAGAGCCCAAATCCTTCATAGAGAAAAGTCGCCCAAGATTGGCAAGTAATTGGGTAATGAAAGTTGGATCATTGCCCGTGATCAGAATGTCATCCACGTAAATGAGTAAGTAAATAATAAGTGATCCAGAATGATAGGTGAATAAAGAAGAATCTGCAATGGAAGCTTCAAACCCCAATTCCTCCAAATAAGAGGAAAAACATGAGAACCAAGCCCCGGGTGCCTGTTTAAGCCCATATAAAGAACGTTGCAATTTACATACATGATGGGGAAAATCCAGATCAACAAAGCCTTTGGGTTGCTGTATATACACATCTTCATAAAGAGAGCCATGTAGAAATGCATTTTGAACGTCAAGTTGGCGAACGTGCCATTCAAAACTAACAGCAAGAGCAAGAATCAATCGAATAGTGGAGTGCTTAACAACCGGACTAAATGTTTCACCATAGTTAAGACCTTCCTGTTGATGAAACCAATTGGCAACTAACCTTGCCTTATATCGCTCAATAGACCCATCAGAGTTCCGCTTAATTCGAAAGACCCATTTATTAGGAAGAATATTCATATGCGGTTGAGAAGGTACGAGAGTCCATGTACCATCCTTTTGCAAGGCATTAATTTCCGCTCCCATGACTTGTCGCCACTCAACATGCTGATTTGCCTGTGTAAAAGAACTCGGCTCGACAATATTAACATGAGAATGAACAGAAAGAGCATATTTGGGATTAGGCTTGCTAACACCCATTTTACCTCTTATGACCACAGGATGAGTATATGTGGTTGGTGGAGTCTGTATGGAAGATATAGGTTGAGAGAGAGTGGGGAGAGATGGGTTAGGTGGAGGAAAGGTGAGAACATGACGATGAGGGTCACGACGGTAGACTTGTAAGGGAGAAGAGGGTAAGGGAGGAGGTGTAGGGGGAGATGGGCTAGGAATGGGAGATTGTTCAGGTAAAGGAGAGGAATTGGTAGGAATAGAGGGTAAAGGTTGAGATGGGCAAGGGATATCAGTAAAAAATAAAGGTAGTGAAGGTGGAGTGGATGCTTCCGTAGCCCGATTCACAGTGATCTCTTTAAAAGGAAAAGAACTTTCATCAAAAGTAACGTGACGAGACAAATACACACGACGAGTAGAGATGTCTAAGCAACGATAACCTTTATGATTTAATGAATATCCCAAAAAGACACATTGGGTGGATCGAAAATTTAACTTGTGTTGGTTGTAAGGACGTAAATAAGGATAGAATACACAGCCAAAAACACGGAGGAAATCATAAACAGGAGCACGTTGAAATAACTTTTCATAAGGAGAAGAAAAATGCAAAACCTTAGTGGGAGTGGATGCTTCCGTAGCCTGATTCATAGTGATCTCTTTAAAAGGAAAAGAATTTTCATCAAAAGTAACGTGACGAGACAAATACACACGACGAGTAGAGATATCTAAGCAACGATAACCTTTATGATTTAATGAATATCCCAAAAAGACACATTGGGTGGATCGAAAATTTAACTTGTGTTGGCTGTAAGGACGTAAATAAGGATAGCATGCACAGCCAAAAACACGGAGGGAGTCATAAACAGGAGCACGTTGAAATAACTTTTCGTAAGGAGAAGAAAAATGCAAAACCTTAGTGGGAAGTCGATTTATTAAATAGAGAGCGGTGTAAATGGCTTCACCCCAGTATTGAGATGGCATGGAAGAATGAGCAAGAAGAGTTAAAGCTGTATCAACTAAATGACGATGTTTGCGTTTGGCAAGTCCATTTTGTTTAGGATGGTGGGGACAATAAATGTGATGTTCAATTTCTTTACTAGCAAAAAATTCTTTAAGTTTATGATTAGTGTATTCGCCCCCACCATCTATTTGAAAAGATTTGATAGTAGAAGAGAATTGAGTGAGAACATAAGCATAAAATTTAATAAAAACATCACAGACTTCATATTTATGTTTTAAAGGAAACAACCAAAAATACCGAGAAAAATCATCCACGAAAAGAACATAATACTTAAATCCTTGAATAGATAAAATAGATGAAGACCAAACATCAGAATGAATCAACTGAAATGGAAAAGGGGTAACAGATTTGGACAAATGAAAGGGAAGTTTAGTAGCTTTTCCCAAGGGACAAGACGAACAAAAATCCAAAACATGAGAACCTAAAGATGGTAAATTAGGAAATAAACGATGCAAAATAGGAGGAGATGGATGACCCAACCGAGCATGCCAAACATGAGCATCAATCTTGACAACATGAAAAGCAAACGGATGTTGAGAAAAGGAATGCGAAAGATAAACAGGATAGAGACCACTGTTACTCGAGCCTTGGAAAAGCGTCTTCCCCGTCTTGAGATCCTTCACACAAAAAAAATTAGGAAAGATGAGAAAGTAACAATTATTATCTTTACTAAATTGATGAGCAGATAAAATGTTGGTGAAGGCATTAGGAGAATACAAAATATTATTCATGGTAAATGGGTGGGAAGAGTGAGTAAAAATAGATGAACCAATTTTTTTAATTTGCAAACCTGTACCGGAAACAACACCACCAACAGTATCACCACGATAGTCACGAGATAGATTAAGGTTACCAAGGTCTGAGGTAATATGAGCATTAGCGCCTGTATCCAACAACCATGCACGAGGATCAGAGGACGAAGAGGCTGGAGTAGCCATAGCTGAGAGTGTCTGAGTAGGTAGACGTGGATTAGAAGCCATAGCCGAGAGTGTCTGAGTAGGTAGACGTCCTTCAAAAGCCAAGTTCATGCGATTGTAACAGTCGATAGCAGAATGGCCGGGGTGGTTACAAATTTGATAGAGAATTCGGCATGTGGAAGACCGGCCAGCAACATAAGGAGATGAGGAGGAAGGACACTGCCCAAGAATGGACGGAGAGCGGCTAGAAAACCTGCTACCAGAACTAAGGAGAAAAGGAACCACAACCACTACGATCGACGGATGTGAATCACTAACACCAAAACCAGCAGAAGTAGCGCGACCATGAAAGCCACCACGATCGGAAAATCCGCTACTACGACCAACACTATCAGGAACAGAATGCCCAGCAAGAGAAAGACTATCAACAATTCCATTTAATTTGTCCAAGAAGTCAGATATAGAAAGATCACCACGAGAGGTGCGCAAGAGCTCACTACGTAATTGAAGAATGCAGTTGTGAGATGGGGAAGCATATCGGTTTGCAAGTGATAACCAAGTGGTACGAGCAGAGGTAGAGTGAACAACCATACCCAAAATGGTTGGTGTGAGGGAACCGTTGATCCAACTGAGGACCATTTGATCTGTTTGAATCCATTCTTCATATGCAGAATTGACAACTTCAGAAGTTGTGCCTTTTTCATCAGTAACTTGGAAAAAAGCCGAAGGACACTTACTAGTGCCATCTACAAATTGCATGAGACCACGACTTTTAAGGATGGGAGTAATCTGGGCTAACCATAGGGGATAATTGTTACGATCAAGCTTGATGAACAGAAGATTAGAGACATATGTGTGTATATGGTTACTAGAAAGAGAAGAAGAAGCAGAAGCAGTCACAGTAGCAGAGGAGGAAGCCATAATAGCAAGTGCAATGAAAGATGAGTAGATTATAAGGACTGGAAAAAAAAACAGACGTGAGTCACTGAAGCTCTGATACCATGAAGGAATAATATTGAGATGAGTTGAAAGCCTTGGATGCAAGGCGTGTGTATTGATTGTCATAAAAATATTGTTTACAAGAGACATAATGATGACTATACAATAATAGCTTACAGCAGAAAGATAACTATATAACAATAGTTTAATAATAGTGCATAACATAATCATGACAGAGGATAAGAGTGTGGAGAGGAATTCTGAGTTGATGACACGTCAAAAGATGATTCATTATTATGCAAATTCTGTTTATCATAAAATACATGTGCAATAAGGTGGAGAATCTATAGAGAAGTAAAAGGAAAAAAAAGATTAAAATAGTAAGAGAGGGGGAGGGATGACGTGCTACTGTAGAGAAAAGAGAATTAGAAAAACAAAACTATGGAGAAGCAAACAAAAAAAAGAGTAGAACAATAGGAAAATGGGAGGAGGGATGACGTGGTGTAGAGAGAAGTTTAACGGTGTTAAGTTCCTGTTAGTTCAATTAGGGCATTTTTTTTTTCTTTTTTAATTATGAGAAAATTGGGTTATATTTCAAAGATAATGTGTCAACTTAAAGTCTTTTAGATTAAATTTTAATGAGGTGGCGTACCCAGAAGAAAAGTCAAGCAGATTATAATAGATAAAAAACAAGCAAAGGACCTAGATCCCTTGTCGATTTACTAGTGACTTTTCTAAACTCTATGAAAATATTTAAGAATTTATCAACTTTATAAAAATCACTCACTTAAAACAAATATTTTATTACACTTCTTTAAAATCTTGATTGAATATATCTGAATTTTTAAACTTTTTTAAAAATCGTGAAAATCCCAATTGAATACAGCCTGAAAAAGCAGGAACCACCCAATCCAACACCAATGCAAAGTGGAGAATCTCAAACGTGGGGTCCACACTTTCTCATTTTCCAAATCACACTCGAATTCAGGATTTGTTTTTGTTACATATATATTCCACTTTTTGCTTGGATAAAGAAAAGCCCTTATTCCCTTTGATTTCCAAGTCAAAATCATCAAACCCTCTCTCTCTCTCCCTCCCCCTCCGTGAGACCAAAAACCAAAGAGAACATGCAGATTTTCGTGAAAACCCTAACTGGGAAGACCATCACTCTTGAGGTTGAGAGCAGCGACACCATCGACAATGTGAAAGCCAAGATCCAGGTACTGTATCTCTCTCTAATTTGAGTTTTCGTCTCATGTATTTATTTGATTCATTTAAAGGAACAACTTTATTTTATGGAAGCGTTTCATCGCGATATAATTAGGGTTTCGGTTTCTAGTTAAGATTCGGTTGTTGTTGTATTATGATTTTGTTATTCGGTTTGGTTAATATTTGTATCAGAGTTTGTGATTGTGTGTGTATATATATGTTGGAACAATTCTATAGCGAGGGTTAGGGTTTCTAATTTGAGCTGTTGGTGCGCTGGATTTTATTGAGTACAAAATTTATTGATTTTCTGAGTTTGTTTAGTTTTATTGTTCTTGGCAAGGAAAAGTACAACTGAAAATTTTGCAGAAAACTAGGCCTTTGCTGTCATCCAATGGGTTGAGTAGTTATTGTTTATTTGCGTTTCGTCTTTCCCATAGAACTTTTCATTCCTAATTGTATGATTAAGCCTTTATGACATTAGTTTTGTGAAATGAGATTGTTTCTGTAAGGTTATTGCATAATTCTGTTACTATCATTACCATTCTGCAGTACAAGAAATCCATATAAGCAGACTTGTGTAGTAATTTATACAGAACTGGGGAACTGATTGATAAACACGATGTCAAACAGTTTCAGAGTGTCCTCTGTCTTGAACTAATACTAATGAACTGTAGATTTATCTATTAAAGAACAACTTTTCATCACAAAGAGCTAATCAATTATGCATTTTTACGGAATCATGGAAAAATACCTTAATCACCCAGACAGCTTAGTAGAAATTTGTAAGCGAATTGGATTTAAAATCCGGAAATCATATGATGTTTCGGTCTTTGATATGTACTTTTCTTTTTGCAATTTGTCTTTCCTTCCGTTTACCTTTATATGCATCAAAGGGATTTATTATTCTTTTTTGTCATGGAATTGCATGGTAACTCATAGATATTTGTTTTCAGGATAAGGAAGGCATCCCTCCTGACCAGCAGAGATTGATTTTTGCTGGTAAGCAATTGGAGGATGGCCGAACTCTTGCAGATTATAACATCCAGAAGGAGTCAACGCTTCACCTGGTTTTGAGGCTGAGGGGAGGAACTATGATTAAGGTGAAGACTCTTACTGGGAAAGAAATTGAGATTGATATTGAACCAAATGATACCATTGACCGGATCAAGGAAAGGGTTGAGGAGAAAGAGGGAATTCCTCCAGTGCAACAAAGGTATATTTTCTTTTGTTATTATATTCTATTTCACTAAAATAATGTGTTGCTTGAACTCAAGTTATTTCTGAGTTTTCATTGTCTTTTCATCAGTATATATTAGATGTTAATCATTTCACTTCACAGTGTATTTATATCTCATGCCATTTTTCATGTAAATATAATATTATTTGGGTTTTGCTGCATGTGGTAATGGAATTTCTTATGACTAGAGTAAATTTGATGAATTAAAAAATCGATGTACTGAGATTATTGCTTTTCCCTTGATCTAGCTATGTGTGTTTGCATTAAAATTGGGCGGTGAGTATGCATGAACTTAGTGCCCTTTTATTTTATTTTTTGGGTTACACTGGAGGAAAGAAAACCCCACTGGGGTTCGATACTGGGTGCCATGGGGGGAGGGGGAATCCACCACCACTGTGGTGGGAACCCATTGGCCCATTTTGTCTTTTTAGTGTTGGATGTTTTACCGACTCATTATTTCTTTACTTCTAAAGGCTTTGATTCATGAACTACACTCTCTATCTCTATAGCACTGAGAATTTTTTTTCCAGTGGGTGAGATTGTTCAAAATAATAGGTTGTCAACATATAACTTTTGTTTGTACTCCTATTTGGGATATTTTAGTTGCTTCTAGTTTGAATTGGTTATTGTCTCCTTGTGTGATTCAACATGTGTTTTGAATTTTTTGTGAGAGATGGTTCAAAATCTTGGGGATTTGAAATTGCACGGCCTTCTTGTTATTGAATCTTACATAGCTCTTATGGCATGTTTACTAATCCGGAATTGAATTAGGGGGAATTGAATTGAGGAGGAGTTGGATTGAGGAGAATTAGATTCCGGATTCCTAATGAAGTTGTTTACTAAACCATATGGATTGAGGGGAGTTAGATTCCGAATTCCTATTGAAGTTGTTTACTAAACCATATGGAATTGGGGTAAGAGTGGTACTAATTACTAAAATGTCCACATTTTTTGTTTAAAGTAGATGGCATATTTGGAAATTTGAAAATTGTGTGAGGATATAATGGGTAAAAAAGATGAATTCCTAAGGGGTGAATTCTCCAGGGATTAGAATACCACCTCCAATTCCGGAATTGAATTCCTCCAAAATTCAGAATTCAATTCCTAATTTTGCGTGGGTCCCACTTACTTTTCAATTCCATTATGTGAAGTAAACGCAGGAATCCTCAAAAGTGGAATTCAATTCCTGATGAGAATTCCAATTCCGGATTAGTAAACATGCCATTATTGTTTGTCTTCTTAGCTCATGTTATTTGAAATGGCACAGCATCTGCAACATTGTTATTTTTATTAATTTTATACTTGACAGCTCCTATTAAGGCATCGTTTGGGCATGTTTAATGACCAACTAAACAAGTCAGGAGAATGTTTTTGATGTTTAATGATTTGTAATGTAATATTTGCTTCAAAGATCTAATTTATTTTACAACTGTTTGCAGGCTTATCTACGCTGGCAAGCAGCTTGGAGACGACAAAACAGCTAAAGACTACAACATTGAGGGGGGCTCTGTCCTTCATCTGGTGCTTGCACTACGGGGTGGCAGTCTTTAATCGTATTTTCGGTTTAGGCAAAACTCTTTTGTTTGGGCTTTTTTTGAGTCTTGATACTTGAAAACATTTGAGTTGCATGTCTTTTGTTGATAAATTCGAATACATGGCAAGAAAGCTTGTTGTTCTAAGTTGGTTATTGTGGACATAATTATTACTGTGTTACATACATAATTCTCTGTCTCTCCCTGTTTTATTTGTGATGCTTTCCCTTGAGATATGTATTAACCAAAGTAAATGAATCTGTGTGACAGAGGAAAAGAGAGGCTATATCCATCTGAATAGTCTACCTTTGCTTATGAGGGCTAAACAATTCCGGGCAATCTACTCTGTAGAATTTCACCCCTGAAGAATTGGGCTCTTTGTTTCTGTTTGATGGGCAACTTTTTGGTCAAAGACTTCTCTGATATTAGGAAGCGAAATGAAATGGTAGATTCTTCTAAGTAAAAGCAAACACAGGAAAACACCGTAATGGGGCCAAAATGGGAATTCCCAAATTAACATTAGCATTAGTGCCATGGTTAGCTTTTTAGAGAACAAAAAGAAAAACATTGGTGTTCTTCTTTTGTTCTTGAAAATACTCTCTTTTGTTTTAAATTGGTTCTACGCCTCACATTCGTTGTAAATTCGTTTTAAATTCAAGCGATAATTCTGGGTGCATTAAGAATTTTAATGATTGCATTTACACAAATATGATGTCCTAATCCTCTAGATTTTTCTATGGTAATTGTATCAGGACCAACTCTGAGCCTGGGCCTCGAATATATTATATGTAATTGTTGAGGCCCATATTACAATGAATGTCTTCTTTTTAAACATTTTTATTAACCAAGTGGAATTTATGGAATTTGAAAGTTTCACCCATTTGATCTGCTAATGCGGTCTAGTTTAGTGAAAAATAGTCTAGACTTGCAAACTAGTAATTTCAGGTTCAAACTCCAATGTCACATTGGTTGGGTGTATGAGAAATTCCCCTTTTCATTCTAGTTTAAACTAGAGATATTTAGTCATATACCCATTCTTAGCACTAAAACTATAAATAAACCCTATACCATTTAATTTCTACAAACACACCATTTAATCGCTTTTATTTTAAAAAAAAAAGAATAAAAAAATTAAAACAATTTCGTACTACAAAATTTTACATGTATTTAATTTATCATATTGCATGTAAGATGAGAACAAATTTTTCAAGTTGGACAAAAAAAAACGTGAAACCAGATTTTTTTTTAGTAAGATGAGAAAAGTGTAAAATGACGTATACTTTTAAATTGTAACCTTGGTGAAAATTTCGTATAAAAAAAAACCTTGGTGAAAATAAAATAAATCTAAAAAATGCAAGGGTAAAATTGGAAAATCACTAACTTTTGTTTAAGGAGCTGACCAGCTGGGGTCCGCTCGCGGGTTTTCCTTGAGGGACAAGGATTTTCGTGAAACAAAAATTTACAACTGTATCCCGGTCGATGCCTATTTAAATCCAAGTCTGTAGTTGAAACCCACTTTCATTCAGTTTCCTTCAATTTGCTTTAGCTCGTTTTCACGCATTCAATTTGCCTCAGCCTCGTTTTCACGCACAGCGATACAAGGAAAATGAGTTCATCGAGCAACACCAGGAACCCTCTTGGAGAACAAAACTTCCTTCTGAGAAAGCCTAATTGGGAAAATGTAAGTGAATCTTTTCTGGGTTTTTTGGATAAACTAAGTCTGATAGAATCTCACTTTTCCAGCATTTTCTTTGAAACCAACGACATAATTAACGTGTCTGATTTTTGGTTTTCTTCTGGCTAATAAAATCTGTTTGGTATTTACAGTTGGATAGGTTTATACCCAATCGGGCGGCACTGGACCTTGATTACGCGCATTACATGGTCAGAGGAGGGAGAAAGGGAATCGAGAACCCGGAGGCTGCAAGCACTCCATACCAGAAGCTACTGACTGAGACCTTCAACATGAACCGAGCACGAATCTTCACATTCAAGAACAAGCCCCCCACCCCAGTTGAAGCCATTCCGAGGAGATTGCTTTCACCCCCTCTTCATAAGGCCAAATCTACCAAGCCCTCTCGACGGGTTCCTCAGGTATAATAATTGCATTAATATCATCATACTTGAATTTAATTGTGCTTAGGATTGTGTCTGTAATGATGATCATATTGATTTTGCTTTGTGGATTATGTTCTAATTCTTCCAAATGGATTTTGCAGGGTCCAGAGAGAACAATGGACGCTCCCGGTATTGTAGATAATTTCTACTCGAATTTACTAGACTGGAGCAGCAGCAACATTCTTGCAATTGCTCTTGGAAACTCAGTGTACCTATGGAATCCTTCTGACCATTCCATCGTAAAACTCGTCACAATTGATGATGAAGATGGTCCCGTTACAAGCATCAGCTGGGCTCTTGATGGGCAACATATTGCCGTCGGCTTGGACAATTCCTGGGTCCAGTTATGGGACTCTGTCTCTGTTAGACTGGTAAGAACATTGTTGCTTATTATTGTTGGTTGTTTTCCTTAGAAAATGAAACCTTGGTTCTAATACTAATCTACTGCTGATTTTGTTACTGCAGATAAGAACATTGACAGGTGGTCACCATGGAAGAGTAGGTTCACTGGCCTGGAACAAACGCATTCTTACTACAGGAGGAATGGATGGTAGAATTATCAACAACGATGTAAGAGTGAGATCCCACATTGTTGGAACCTACAAGGGTCACGAGGCCGAGATCTGTGGATTAAAATGGTCACCCTCAGGCCAGCATTTAGCTAGTGGAGGGAACGATAATGTTCTCTTCATATGGGACAGGTCAACAGCCTCTTCCAATTCACCAAGACAGTGGCTTCAAAGGCTTGAAGACCACACTGCAGCAGTCAAGGCCCTTGCTTGGTGTCCATTTCAAGAGAATTTGTTGGCCTCTGGTGGTGGTGAACTTGACCGGTGCATTAAGTTATGGAACACACAAACAGGCTCGTGCTTGAGATCGGTTGACACTGGCTCGCAGGTGTGTGGTCTTTTGTGGAACAATTATGAGCGTGAATTGCTTAGTTGTCATGGTTTTAGCAAGAATGAGCTTATCCTTTGGAAGTACCCGTCAATGGTGAGGATGGCAGAGCTCACTGGCCATACCTCCAGAGTTCTCTTCATGACTCAGGTACTAATTTGGACTTTAATTTGAACTTCGCGAATTCAATTCTGTTTGTGTATTTGATTTCATGAATTGATTTTCATTTGGAATAATTTTTCATGGCAACTTCATATGGTAGTTACTTGTTCTAATTGTTTGTAACTTCTGTTGTTTATGTTTTCAGAGCCCAGATGGATGCACTGTGGCCACTGCAGCCGCGGATGAGACAGTTCGAACTTGGAATGTGTTTGGGATTCCGGGAGTTTCAAAACCTGCACGAAAAGAAAATCCGTTGCCATTTGCTCATTTATACACCATTCGTTGAAGATCATGTAAATGCTGGAGAGAATTTTATCTGTTTTTTCTGGGATGCCAAACGAAACAGATAGGTGTATATGGTGTACATTGTTTACAAGAAAAAAAGCAGATAAGTGTATATGGAGAGAATTCATACAATTTGTATGAATATATAATGTATATGGTTACACGAAGAGGGAAAAAAAAAGCAGTTTTGATTTAAATTCTTCTTTCTAGTTGTTCATGCTGTTGTCTTTTGCTATCTAATTTCAGACCACGTTTTCAACCAATAGTGAGGAGGAAACTTAACTTGGGGCTGGGAGAAAGATAAGAAGTCTGACCAATTGTGATAGGCTTAGTAGGATGATTAGTGATTTGATGGCTGGGGTGAGTAAAGAATGTCACCCAATGACTATTTTAGTCTTTGTAATCAATTTTTTTCTAAAAATATAATATATTTTCATACATAACCCTTTTTTTTGTCACTCTTATAACATAATTGATCATGGATGGATAAGATTCTATTAAAATGGAGGAGAGAGAAAGAGGAGGGTTCCAAGAAATATATCACATTTTAGAATACTTGTGCCTATACATACTTGTAAATATGTATAAAAGGCTTATGGGCTTTCCATGATCTAAAGCATGTCTAAAATACTTGTGACTACAGTTTCACCTGTTCAATTTTGTCAGCTTTGCATACTTCACCCAACACATTCTGAATACCAAAGAAACAAAAGGCAAAAAAATAAAATTCTGAATCCATGTATCGATTTTAAGAAGAAATCTTCGGTTTAATTCTTTGCTTGGAGGGAAGTAAGATCCGGGAGGCTGATTTGCAGAAACATGGATATGAGAAATATATAACTTGCTGTCCTCCAAAAACTACTTCTAGTTTTATTTGTAAGAAGCAAGTTAGTAATTAAAGAAAAAAAACATGTAGGGTTCTGTAAGTTTGCATCTGCAAAGCCATGTTAACAAGCTTCTGCATATTCTTTGCCTGTGACATGACTACGTTTCTTTCGGTATGGAACACATGAATCTAAATCAAAGGGTCAGGACAGCGTAAGAAGAAGCACTTAAGCGCTGTAAAAGATCTCTTTCTGAAGAGCTGTTGAGTCCAAACTCTACAAAAAAAGTTCTAAAAGAATGCAAAAACAATTCCTATATCATCTTCTCTATCAAAACATGAAATAATTGCTACAGATTATCCTTTGATCTTAATATGTAGAAGTCAGCCTATGGTGTTGTGTCGCTTGCTCTTCTGAGGGCCAAGGGGACTTTTCCCTGCAGTTCTCTCTGTACATAAAGGAGATGGAAGCAAGGGCCGGGGACTTCTTCCAGTTCTTCTTGGAGACAAGTTGGCTTGCTCTAAAACTCGGAACTGAAGCTCCGAAGGATAGTCCCTCATGCAACCAATCCGCGGTCCAGCTCCTGTTGTCCACCTACTGGTTAATTGCTGAGCCAACTGATATGACTTCATTCCTTTATGTGAATCAATCCTTTGCATGATTTTCTCTTTTGGCACTGGCTTTTCGTCTTCTTCAAATTCATCATCTTCAAACAAGTTTAGTTTTGGGATCATGAAATCTTCCTCTGTTAAGAGTGATTCTTCAGCTGTTTCATAACCATCGTCGGAAGCAGAATCTGGAAAATATTCGCGACAAGTTATTGGTATTCCCTCCTTGAGAATGTCAAACGCATCATTTCTTTGTGGTATTTCAAGTTTGGCTATCTTTGAGCAGAATCTTTCAGGCAATCTTGACAGAATAGGATTAGCATTTTCTACAGAGTTAGAGTCCTCATTGCTTGGATCAGTGCTATCTTGCCCTGAGCCTTCAGCATTTGTTGTTCCAGTATCTTTAGATGGATTTGGTTTTTTGGGACTGTTTCGAATTCCAATGTTGCTGCTCTTTTTGCTGAGGCCTCCTTCTTCATCATCAGCTGGAGTTCTCTGAAAATTGAAAGAGAGGTACATTATTACTAGGTCAATTGTACATTACTATTTCTTTAATGGAAACAGTATCTGCTATGAATCATGGGAACATTATCTTTCATATAGTATAGGGAAGGGTTTTTGCTAGCTACAAGGGTGCATTTGTGTCTGATGATCTCATCTCAGAGCATTATCATCTTCAAACAAGTTTAGTTTAGGGATCATGAAATCTTCCTCTGTTAAGAGTGATTCTTCAGCTGTTTCATAACCATCGTCGGAAGCAGAATCTGGAAAATATTCGCGACAAGTTATTGGTATTCCCTCCTTGAGAATGTCAAACGCATCATTTCTTTGTGGTATTTCAAGTTTGGCTATCTTTGAGCAGAATCTTTCAGGCAATCTTGACAGAATAGGATTAGCATTTTCTACAGAGTTAGAGTCCTCATTGCTTGGATCAGTGCTATCTTGCCCTGAGCCTTCAGCATTTGTTGTTCCAGTATCTTTAGATGGATTTGGTTTTTTGGGACTGTTTCGAATTCCAATGTTGCTGCTCTTTTTGCTGAGGCCTCCTTCTTCATCATCAGCTGGAGTTCTCTGAAAATTGAAAGAGAGGTACATTATTACTAGATCAATTGTACACTACTATTTCTTTAATGGAAACAGTATCTGCTATGAATCATGGGAACATTATCTTTCATGTAGTATAGGGAAGAGTTTTTGCTAGCTACAAGGGTGCATTTGTGTCTGATGATCTCATCTCAGAGCATTAATTTATGGAAAAACCCCGATACGTGGGAAATATAGATTTCGATCAGCTCTGTCCAGTTAATAGTATCCTATCATGTCATATACTGCTACACAAAACATCATCTGCTGAGACAGTAGAAGATGGTAACTTCTTGAGTTAAAATAATCGAATTTTGCTGGAAATACCTTAACATTTGTGAGATCTACGTTGTGATCAATAAGGAACAACATGAATTCCTGAAAATTTTCCTCTGTTGGGAGATAATGGCCACTATGAGGCCAAACTGACTGTTGAGTTAAACCAAAAAAGACAAAAAGAATGTTAGTAACTATTATATTAAAGCCTAATCTCAAAGATAGATACAGGATTCAATCTACTAGGTATACGAAAATCGTTGATAGATTACTCTCTCGTACCTTAAGAATTCCCTGTTCCACCACTAATCTTCCAGCAGAGAGTGTGGCTCCACCCGCCAAGAAGCTTGAATGTTGAAACGTACCTTTGCTCTTCTGTCCAATATACAAGGTCTTGGATGTGCTAAGGACAAATATCCACTTAGCATCTCTGGCTTCTGTTGTATCAAGAAGATTTCCACTCTGCTTGTAAATGAACTTCCCATCTTGCATTACAACTTCATAAGCCTCTCTTTCTATCTGCAGAAATGAAGCAACAGTTATCGGTACACCGGTTTTGTTTGAACTAAAATGTCTTGGGAATTTGTTTCATTCTTAAGGTTTATAGTTAGAAGATTGAAATACCATGGTGAATAGGTTTATGGGACATATTCAGATTGAAATACCATGGTGAGAAGATATTCAAACTCCTTCACAAAAACATAAAAAAATGAGAAATCATAATGGAAGATGAGACTCACTGGGCCAAGATACTTGATGCATTGTGCTTGAAGCTTTGACCGAGGACACACTTCATGGTTGACTTCTCTTCCATCTCCTATGTCAAGCCTGCATTTTTAAGAGAAAAAAAAAACTTTTATGATTATTAAATAGGTGCTACAACATTCTTGGCTGTGATCAAAGAGCATTTCTAATTGCTTTGTATGATGTCCCAGATTAAACTTACCAATAGAAGAAGGGCTGTGTACTCTCACAATGGAGCCATTTCGCATAATAAAAGTGAAGATTATGGCCATAGCGATGTCGAGGATCAATCTGTTAATAGGAAGGAACAAGAGTAAGAATCCATAAAGAAAATTTTGCACATGGATTCTAAGGTATATTGCACTATAAGGTATAAAACTTACTGCCTCAAGCCAATGCTGCAAAGCAAGTTTACGGGCCTTTTTATCCTTAGACAAACCTTTTCCCACCTTCAAAAGAGATGATGCAGCAGCAGTTAGAGCCATAATATAGCAGTACAGAAGTGCACATCACATAGTGTAATACTAACTAACCTTGGCAGCTCTGGTTCTTGCCCTAGACCAGCGAGAAACAGCTGTCTCAGGTTTCTGAATGTCAAAAAATGATATTGAGCTCCGTTTGAGCTCAGCGAAATCGAGTGCCTTCCACCTACAAATTGAGTTCACCAAAATATAAATCTAACTTCAGAAGGATACAAATAGGGGATATGTGGACAGGACTAGTAGGCATAAAACTTTTCCATTTCCTTTTCATGTGTGACACCGAAAAATTGATGTCATAGCTCTTCAAATTGAAAGAAGACATGAAAGCATACCATCTTTGCTCAACAAGAATTGCACAATCTGCTAGCTGTCTTCTCGTGCGGAAACTTTTATACACTTTCTGCAACTTCAATGCAGCCTGGTATCTGTGTTTTCCTGGCTCCTGGGACTGGTTTTCTGATGTCTGCAACGGGTCTCCAGCATCGCTTTCTGCTCTGGTAGACGCATTGTTTTCCATATCATCCGAACATGTCTTTGTTAAGGGCTTGGTGTTTGACTCCTTCCCTTTAAAGCTAAGTGATCCTTCAATATTCATCTTTCCTGAACCATTTGTGGTGGTTGGTTCTGAATCAGGGCTATTGGAGCTTAATGACCGCAAGGGCTTCCTCTCTTCTTCTTTCCTAAGACTAACTGGACTTACAAGAACAGCTCCACAATGACTATCCAAATCATCAAAGTCAGAAAGTGGGCAGGAAACTGGAAACCCCATTGACCAACAAGGGATATCTGCAAGATTATACTACAAATAACCAAGATCTGAATCGAGGAGATGATCGAGATCTATTGGGTCCCTTTACCTGTAAAAAACTGAACAGAATGTACAGAATTAAACATAAAAAGTTCATCAAACTTGATATCCATGAAAGGCAATATAATCAAACTTGGTACCAACAAACATTGTTTCAACATTCATGAATGGAGGTCTACCATTGAATATATAGGCACACATCCATTTCCTCCTCTTTCCTGCTTTTCTTCTAGAATCTAAAGCATGGTTCCTCAAAAGCCATTTTAAAATCCCATGCAAATTGCAGAGGAGGGTTTATATCCAACACTCTAAATTGGGTGATACAAAATTTTGCAACATTTAAATTAGAAAATATTAAAAGTCTCAAATGCATTAAATGCAAATACTAACAAACACACACACACACACATCACCAATCATTTCCCAGCGGGACCATTATGCCACTCCCATTGCAACATTCAACCAACAAATTAAGTGAATGACTCACAAGAAAGCCTATTGATACATTTATGAATGAAGGGTGCACAATGAGTCTTACCTTAATCAGAGACAGAATGGAAGCAGAGACGGAGACTGGTTTAAGACAAGGCTGAGGAAAGAGAGAACCAAAGAAGGGTAGAGAGAGAAAGATGGAGAGGAAGTAAAGAAATGGGCAAATGATGGGAGAGAGAGCGGAGAATGTGGGAAGTTGAAGGGGTTTTATTTTGTAGAGGTTTCAAAGGTTACAGAGTGGCTTTCATGGGCTTGCTTCTCTCCTTCCACAGAGAGCTTTACTTTTTTTTCTCTGTCCCTGGCTTACACAGCACCTACGTTGGCTACATGCTATTCTTGCAACATTTATATATAGAAGTTAGAGAGAGAATTCTAGAGAGAGAATTTCAATAGAGAGAGAAGAGTGGGGGAAGAAAAAGAGTGATTAACAGTTGGATCATAGTCTCCACACACGTGTTATTGACCACAAGAGAAAGTTCACCAACTTATAATATATATATATTTCTTAATGAATCTCTATTTTGATCTTTTTAATTCATGTCAATATTGTGTTTATGTCTAAAATTACTTCATTTTAATTTTTTCTGTAATTGGTTTAATCATATTTGATTTGAAGGAAAATAAGCTTCATTTTCTTTAAATAAAAACGAAAAGGTGTACGACAAGTTTTATAAGATACGAGTTTAAATACCCCTTTTCTTTGTTTAAGTTTGAATTTTTTTTTTTTTTTTTGGTTATTTGGACTAAATTCTATTATGATATGAATGATCATTACCAAAAAACTATAATGCAAGTTTAATTTATAGTTAATGTAATAAATTGCTTGTGATTTTAGGAGGAATATATGCATTTTCAAGCTAGCAAGTGATTTGATGTGTAAAGTTCTCATGATGACGAACACATTGTCGTTTGAAGGTTTAATTGATAATTTAATTACTTTTCTAATTGCTTTTTTTTTTTTTTGGGGTTTCTTCATCTAACTAATCCATGTTAGTTTATCCCCTTTTTAATTTTTAACTTGACATTAGCCATCCAAACCTTTTTCTAATCTTTTCTTCTTTTTTTTGTCAAGGAATCTTTTCTTTTTCTCTTCTCACAAAATTTGGGTGGGAATGGGATGGTTTCTAAAAAACCCTATTTAGTATTGTATGGCCACAGATGCATGGAAACTTCTTTGGTTAGAAAACAATACATTTCTCCTACCAAATATTCTCTTAAATGAGTGTTATTTGCATCATGCGAAAAAACTTTTGAGTTTTCCCTTTTTATATGGAAAAATGTTTTGTTGTCAAATAGTCGAGCATGTCATTATATAAAAAAGACCGCACAATCATACATGATTTTAGTTACATTAACTAATTATGCTAATTAAATTAGCCAAACAAGAAAGTTTTTATTTTTTATTTTTACAAGAACGATATTTTAAACTATTCTGATGTATGAAAAAGGGAGTTCGAACTCGGGTATAATGCCTTAAGTAATAAGAAAAATCCACATTCACCTCTATAACATGCAGCTTAATATAGACCATTATTTGATTCACCTCTATAACATTCACCTCTGCCTGGCCCTGTGGAAGACGTACGATACTGAGGAAGAGCACTTTCAATTTCAAGCGTAAAGCAATTAATTTTCCACCAAAAAAGAAATATAAGACTTAGATGACAAGGACGAGAATACCCCTAAAAGAGGTGAAAGGCTGAGATCTAAACTTCTGAATCCAACGGCCAGCATCTTTGAGCCATTCGTTTATATTCACCCTTAATTATAAACCCTAAATCCCCTCTCACCTTCCATAGTCGCGCACACTCTCTCTCTCTCTAGGGTCTCTTCCGCGGTCGCCGTTTGCATTTTACGATCTTCTTTATCAATAAAGATGGTAAGCCCAACAGACCTTCCTTTCTTCTTATCTGTAATTCTTCCTTCCCTTCTTCTGATCTGTAATTCTCTCGATAATTAGCGTAGATATTTTGACCCAAAAATACATGAAATTAAAACTTTTTTGATGAGTTTGTCTACGTTTTGACCCAAAATATCTACCCAAAAACGCTGAGTTTCTCTCGATAAATACTTTAGGTCAAAACGCTGAGTTGAAATTAAAACTTTTTCATGATATTTGTCTTGATTGAGTGTCTTTGAAATTTGAAATTGATAGGAACCTGCTTCTAATGAGAGTACGGATGAAGACGATCATGATGAGAATGTGGCTGAAGATGATCATGATGGGGATGTGAGCGGAGGTGACGACAATGACGATGACGATGACGATGACGATGACGATGACGATGACGATGACGAGGAGGATGAGGTAGGATGATTTCTAATTATTGAGTACATGTTGTAGTTTACTGTTGTCAAATTTCATTAGATAATTAGATCGGGAAGATATGGGATGGGACCTAACAATGTATACTTGAGATTGCTTTAGAAACAGAGGGAAAAAAAAAGTATGGGTGTTTGATCGGATTGGTATGAATCAGTTGATGATACATGTCATGGAACTTATAGAAGCTTCCGTAGCTGGTTTTGATTGAATTTCTTGGTTGAAAAGGTGATAGCTTGTGCTTATACTTCACATTGGTGTCTTTATAATATAGGTGATAGTTCGTGAGGTTGTAAAGATAGTTCCTATATCTAATATACCTCTTAGGTTATGGTTGTAAATATAGTTTATGTAAATCATGTGTCATAATTTTCTAATTATTGAGTAAATGTTGTAGTTTATTATAGGCCTAGCCCTAATTTGTTATTATAGATTTACAATTTCTTAATTACAATTGATAATAAAAATGATTTCACAGGATGAGAAAGGTCCCAAGATGGTTAGTGTGTATAGAGTGACAATTGACAAGATCGAACACTATATAACTGAAGTGAACATGTTGGACGTGCCTTCTTTTGAGCAATTGGCGAAAGTTGTCTGCCCCTTGCTCGGCAGCCCCTTGCTCGGCAACCTTGCTGACTATGGCCTGCCGGATGCCCATGATTTTATATTCACCGATGGGTCGTTTTATGGCCTATCTACCGATGAGGCAACTAAGATGCCATGGGAGGAGTTGGTTGAGTATACATCAAGTATCTACGTTTTTGATGAGTTTGATGTAAGTATTTTCTTTTATTTGTAAATTATGTGTAGTTTAGTAGTAAATAGTTTTAATTTCGAATCATGATAACCTGTGATTTTCTTATAAAAATTGTTTGAAAATTGTTCCCTAGGATGAACTTCAAGTGGCTAGACTGACACCCGACAACAACGAACACCCGGTGAAAACTATAAATATGCTGAAATTTACGCATATTGCTGAGATGGAGCATGAGATTCTGAAGCTGGTGAGAGAGCACCCATTGAGTTCCTATAAACAAGCAGATGGTTACCTGTGCCTGTACAGCAAGACGGGCATGACTGCTGACTCCTTGACGAGGGGGATGTTGATTGAGAGGCCCTGGCAATGGGTTGTTCAGAATATAAAGAAGGTGTTCGCAGTTGATCAATTAACCTCTTCTGGTTCTTGCTCAGGATGATTCATGCAGCCTAGGATGATTAATAGGTAGGATTCATTTGTCAATATCCTTACCCTTTTGGAGCAACTTCTTAGTTAGACAGATAGTCGTGCCCACACAAACAAACAAAAAATGTCCATTAGGGGTTGTCGGTGATTCCAATGGAAGGAATGCCTGCCCAGTGAGTGGTATACGTACTCTTTTGAATTTGATTACATGTAAATCTTTGAGCTTAGTTTTGGAAAGGCTCTTTTGAATTTGATTACATGTAAATCTTTGAGCCTAGTTTTGGAAAGGCCATCAGTGTGAAAAAGGAACTTTTTGAGCTCAAAGTAATGAAAAACAGGATCTTGTAGTGGCGTGAAAATGAAGTTGAATTAATTGGAAGTTATTATCAACTAACATATTTGAAATTTCTTTGGGGCCTTTTGGGTAAATGGAGGTGATAGAAAAACAGTACAGGTTCGGAGAAACACTCGGCAAATACTAATGTGGTACAGTTTTTGGTAGAAATTGTGGCTGATAACCAATAACAACATTATACTTCAAGAAATGAGACAGGAAATATCAAACACACCCTAAAGTTCGGACAAAAGAAAACACACACCTAGAGCTAGCTTGCATAAAAAAAGAAAAAAAGAAAAAAAAAGAGAGACATAAATTAGATTCTATGGTTTTAATGTATTTCAATAGTCTCTAGTTTTATTTTAGTTTGCAATAAAAGCTAAAAAACCGAAGTTGAGAGACTATAAGAGCCATTTTTCAAGTTTTAGAACCAAATGCAAATTGGGAGTCTAGAGGAGTTATAGAGTAGGTTGGTATCACAACTGATATGGTAGTACAGACCAATAGTATATTTACACATTGACAAAAATGAAGACTTTAAACTTAAAGGCATTATTAGCGTAACGTGGTCGGTAACAACGGTTGTGGTTAGAAGTCGTCTTCTTCAACATTCTGCTAGAAATCAAGCCTCATTCAAACATTTCAATGTTGATGAAATTGGTGAACTCGAATATCATTTTTGTATGGTGATTGTTCTTTGATTTCTCAATTGAGTTTTTTGTCACAGAACTCGAATTTATCTATTATAAATGTGATTGTGTTGAGGCCCCAAATGTCAAGAGAAACTCAAAGGCATCTAAATCCCAATATAACGTGCAATATTTGCCACGTGCTAATTCCCGTTATATTTTGGGAATTAATTCAATAAATAAATATACATGTACTTTCATACGAGTTCAAATAGTGTACATGCTATGCCAAACATCAAATAAAACCATGCAAGCTAATCCATTTCCCTATGCGAAACCACCGGACACGCTTAAATGGGCCCAAGCTATATATATACCTCAAAGTTTGGCTTCAGCTGCCTCCACTATCTCCGCTAAATTCAATGCAAGACACAAATTTGCAGTTTTCCATAATCTTGAAAAATAACGTCAACTACTATAGTAGTTAAGAGCATCCACAATGAGCTCCCTAAACCACCTAACCCACCTAACCAACCTCCAACCATGATCCCTATCTAGCTCTTAAAATAGGAAAACCTTTAGGAGCTCCTAAATCTGAGGAGAGAGAAAGTATACATAGTGACTCCCTATAATTAAATACTTCTATATTTAATATTATTTTAAAATTTTATTTAATGCCAACTACTTTTTATTATTGCTTTTGTGTATGCACTTTATTCAAAAATTGAATTAAAATTTATTAAAAACATTTATGACTCTTTAAATTAGATGGTATGGTTGGAGTTGAAATTTTAGAAAGAGCTCCTAAAATAGCTTTCTAATGTTTTTAACTAAATTTTAACTAATGGAAGAAGTTATGGAAGAAGTTATAAGTTACTTGCCATACGGTACTCGTGTATAGAAGAACCGTCAATTGGTTAGATTCACAAAGAGAGAAGTGCGCTTCGAAAAATGCTGATTGCCAGCAAGTAAAAAGAGGCATCAGAAATGTCTTGTTTTTCCACTGGGAAAAGGAGGGCCCGCTTCAAGCTGTTAAAAGAGAGCGTCCAAGGAAAAATATCTAATTTGCACCCACATGGGAGAAGTCTTAGCCAGGAGTTTCCATCACAAACCTCTTTTGACATTTTCGTATTTTACATTCAGTTTGGATAATCAAAAACTAAACTCAAGTAAAGTCCCTTGCGATCAGATCATTAACTCAGAGCTCCAACAGAGCATTCTTGCTCTTCATTGCAATTTGCATTCATAGACACTCCCTTCTTCACTGTAGGTAATGTGAAGATATCCATCATCTTCATCCTTGTTTTCCTTGTCGATTTCGACCATCAAGGCACCTGCAACATTGGATCAAGGAATTATCACGAACCACAACAAGAATGAGTAAAACCAAAATGATCGAGTCGCAACTCACCAGCAGGAGGTTCAGTGTTCTTGAAAAGACATATATAGGCTTTTCTCTGCTGACCCCGATAGTAAATCGAATATAATCAACAAATTCTCCAAGAGGCATATCACCGTACACAATGAATCTGTAATAAAAAAAACATGCAGTGTATTTAAGACAGCCTATGAATACAAATGAACTTGGCGTTTGCCTTTCTTTACAGAAGTAGGTAGGTTTTCCTTTGTATAGTAAAAATACAAATCAAGACAATTAAAGCACAAGAGAATTCGAAACTAACTTCTTTGAGCCAATTTCAGGAAGGTCACTCCTGGCATCTTTCTCCACAGCCAACTGCAGGAAAAGCTCAAATTAGAACAGAGTATACCCCAATGAATGCATAGAATGTAAACATATTTGCCGCAGAGAAATTCTTACTGGTATACAACTTGGACGCCTCTCCCTCCAATACCAAGCATGAAAATACCTGTAGGATGACTATATATGCCTAGAGGGGGTTAATAGGCCAATTTAATATTATAATCAAATAAATAAAAATAAACTTTGGTAGCAGGATTGATATGACTTATCAATCCTGAAACGTGCTGGGAATAAAATAAAAGAACACAGAGAGAATTATTTTACGTGGTAAAACCCCACCTCTGGGGAAAATCCACGGGACTCCTCAGTCCAACACAAATCCACTATAGAATGATGATTACAAGAAGTACTCACACACTTATCCTAGACACATTCTAGATAATGTTTACCGACTTCTTCGTAACTCAACTTCTGTCACGGGATGATCTTCGACACTCCTTATGTTGAACGCAATACTGGTCACGATTGCTTCAAGCTCGCCGAAGGAAAACCGCCACCACGGTCTTGGTGCACTCAACCGTATGAGTCACCGACATGCATATAATCCATGCAATATGAATGAAGAAAAGATTTGATAAATCACCAAGTAAACAAGGAACACTTGATGATTTATCTGGAAAAATATGCACACAGCTTTCTCAAGAAAAATTCAATATGCTCAAAAGTTTAATACGTTGAAAAGCTCTACAACTGAAAAGAATACACCTTGGTTTTATTCAAAACAAGTTATCTCACTCAAGAGACACCTACGTGACCACCAATCCTATTCAACAATGACTTCCAACCTTATTCAACTATCACCACAAAACCTGATGCAATATGGTTTGTTTATTAAGACGCCAAACATAAAATAAAATACTATCTAAAGATGAATATGAATTGTGCTTCAATATGGACTCCTAGTGACAACACATAACGACCACACTATTATTTATTGAGAGACAATTATCTCATAAAACAAGATAACTAGAAGATAAGCAAGTGCACGTCGCGATAGTACACTACAAGAAAAAATCCCTTTTGCGACCAAATGTTTGGCGACAAACTAGATTTGGTCGCCAAAAGACACTTATAGGCGACGAAATAATGTAATTTGGTCGCCAAAGGTTTCATCAGATGGAGTCAAATTGTAAAATTTCAGTCACCCAAGTAGCGACCAAATATTATTCATGGGCGACGAACTGTTTTGGTGGCTAGGTGAAAATGTCGCTACCAAATGCGTAGTTGGTCGCCATTTTCTACGTAGATGCGAATGATTTAACTTAAATCACAATGGACTCAAAAATAACTTTAATTATAAATCCTATTTTGAATGCATGATTTATGTCATGATTTACCTGTTGTCAAGATCCTCATATCAATCAAGGCATGCTTCGAAAATCCGGGGTTGAATGTGTTGCGCCAAGACTTCTAGTAAACAACAATCATACACTAATTCCCAACCTATGCTAGAGTCTAGGAAATGACAACACAATTTTCATACTAACAATCTCCCCCTTTGGCATTTCCTAGACAAAACACCTATTACAATTCAAAAGAAATTTCATGGAATTTAACAAAAGAAATCCTACTCTAAACTCAAAGCTCTGAATTCCTGCACATTATGAAACAACAAAACCAGTGAAGCATGTGGGAGAAGAATTGTAATTCAAAGCAAAATTATAACACAACTCCCCCTTAATTCCAGAACACAATCTCTCCCCTTTGGCATTTCCTAGACAAAGCACCTATTACAGTTCAAAAGAAATTTCATGGAATTTAACAAAAGAAATCCTACTCTAAACTCAAAGCTCTGAATTCCTGCACATTATGACACAACAAAACCAGTGAAGCATGTGGGAGAAGAATTGTAATTCAAAGCAAAATTATAACACAACTCCCCCTTAATTCCAGAACACAATCTCTCCCCCTTTTTATCATAATTTCACACATCATCTCTCCCCCTTTTTGTCAGGAAATCCAAAGGGCAAGGAAGGAATAAAAAGGGAGCATATCAATTCCAGGAACTCCAAAAGTCTCATCTGGCATAACCAAGATCCATGCAACACCTGCAAGAACAACATACACAAGTTTAGGTTCAATCATATAAACAATATATGATACTTACCTCTGGGATTACATGTCTTCTGCTCCTCATTGTTTCATGCATATTTCCAAAGAAATATTCTTGTGAGCATGTTGTGCCATAGGTCTGCAACTGACAGGATTGATAATGACACTGCAATCCTCAGATCAATTTATCATGTCTTCGTCTTAGTAACATGAAGTAGTGCCTAGCTGCACAATTTAAACAAAAAGCATAAAACGACACTATGTTTGAAAACACAAAAATTCGTTTTTTTGTTTTTTGTTTTTTTTGGTAGTAAAGGAAAAAAAAACGAAAAATAAAATAAAATAGGAATCTGAAACAGAAAGAATGAGAAGTTTTTAAGCATCAAAACATAACGTGCAAACAAGACAAAATATACAAAACCAAAACAACACAATCAAGCCATAAAACTCAAAACAATCAAGACAGAAAACACACTATAAAAGTAGACCCAAAGCTCTCTTCAAGATGTAATTATTTTCCATTCATAAACATGCCAAGCATTTGAGTAAGAAGAGAAAGTAGCAGCAGACCCATCACTGTCTAAACCGTATGTGAAGTAGAGCATGACAGGGACAAAAGCAAGACACCACACGAGACCCACAAACTCACAGATAAAAGAGGAGGCATACCACAGTCATGGTAAAAGATAAAAGGCATCAAATGAGTCTACCATCAAGAAGCAAAGGTGTTCAGTGAACTATTTTCAATGAAGCACAAAGAATATGTCCACCCAAGACTGATCCCTCCAAGGATAGCGCATACACTGAGTGCATAGAAAGTATATGATGATCAGTTTATGTGATTTTTATTTTTCTTTATGGATTTTGTGGCTCACTTTATTTTGCTTTCGACATGATCCATGTAGCGGATGGTCAATCAGTATGCTTAAGTCAGATGACTGGAAGCAACTGGGTGATGAGGCACCCCTGGGAAAATACTGATCCGAATCATGAAGGCTCCAAAGATAAGCAAGGATAGCAAACCATCACAACCTGTTGACTCGAACCTCGACGTTGGTTAGACAAGAGGCCCGGTTACTGAGCAATGAGAAGTCACCACCTTTTGATTATTATTATTTTTATTTATAAACAGATCAAGAACTTACGCACAGCAGTGTTAAGACAATCCCAAGAGAGACAAGTGCATGAAAGGAGATATTCAAGGCACTTCAAAGAAAAGAGTGTGCGTGTGCAATTGTACCTAGATAGATAGATCATTTAATGAATGTTATCACGCACCAAGACAAAGGAAACCTTTGTGTGAAGCTGAGAGAGTGTTTTCTCAAGATAATGCAATGCTAGAGCCCAATCAAAGATCATCAAATACGTTCAAACAGCTACAGGATTGATACGACCTAACAATCCTTGCACAAGCTGGACAGATTTATAAAAACAGAAAGTAATTTAAATATTGTTAAACATAGAAGAGGCTTTGGCATACAGTAGACTCCGAATTAATCTAGAGCACAGATACCTAAAGATTGCCTAAGAGTGTCATATTGATGATTATCTAAAGTTTTTGCAACAAGACATTTAACATCCAAATTCTCTAAAACAGCAGGTTCATGCACAACATTAGTAGAGGCAAACATACAATTATGATTTTCCTTTTTCCTCCAAACTAACGTTGTCTTAGTTGACGGCAAACAATGAAAAGAAGATAGCTTGGATAAACGGTTTACCTCTTTCATAAGATTTGAAATCTTATGTTGGATACTTACTTTTCCACCCATGACGTGAGAATTTGAACGAACAAATTCGTTTCGAAGCTTATTGCATCTTGGTCTTATGTGCCCATGAGTTCCACAAAAGTGACAAATTGGAATGAATTTCTCGACTTCATGAGTTGCAGAAGGTTCAATAATTGAAGAGGATTTGACAAACTTTGTTTTAGACACAGCGGAAGACTTATTACTTGGTTCAAATCCCAAGCCTCGTTTGTCACCATCTCTTCTTCCCATGCTAATCATCCTGTCAATTTTTTCAGCACCAATGGTTAAAGAAACAATCCTTTCCTTTGAATTTTTAAGTTCAAGTTCAAGGGCTTTGTTGTCATAAGTTAGAGATGCAATTAATTTATTCTGATCAGTCAATTTTTTCTGCAAAAACATCAATTTTTCATTCATACCTGCACTTACCTTTTCGGAATCTGTGTCAGGGGATTGAAACTCGTTTGCAATCCTGCAATTTTGTAGCTTCAGAACAGCCATGGATTTTACGAGCTCTTCATTTTGTTTGCTAAGTTTCTGAGAGGCAGCCAACAAATCATCATATTTGTTCATGATAAACTCAACATCCATATCTTCACAATCATCATCCTTCCTCGTTGGTTCATCCAAGCTTACAGTCGTGATAAGCGCAATGGCCTTCTCATTATTTTCAAAGTCAGAATCACTGTCACTCCAAGTAGTATGCATTGCCTTATTCTTGCCATTCTTTTGTTTCTTTAAGGTGTTGGCACATTGCGAAGATATGTGTCCATAACCTTCACATTCGAAACATTTGACCTTTTCTCTTGGATTCTTTAGTTCATTTGACCTGCGAAATTTAGACCCACCATCAGTATAGTCAACAAATCTATTTTTAAAATTTATACCTTTTGAATCTCGACTCCTTGGATCCTGATTCTTGAGAAAGTTCATGAACCGTCTTGTGAGAATCGTTAATTCCTCATCACTGCAATCTTCATCTGAATGCCCATCATCTTCTTCATTCACAACCTTGAAAGCAACGCTTTTGCTCTTTTTAGGAGCTAGATGTTTCATCTCATAGGTTTGTATGGACCTTATGAGTTCTTGAACTTTCAAGGTGTTCAAGTCACGAATCTCTTCAATAGCCGTGATCTTTGGTTGAAACTGTTGAGGCAAGGATCTCAAAATCTTTTTCGCAACCCTATCTTCTGGAATTTTTTCACCTAAACTTGAACAAGCATTCACAATTACACAAAGTTTAGCATAAAATTCAGAAAAAGTTTCATTCTCATCCATCATGAGTGTCTCAAACTGTAAAGTGTGCATTTGAAGCTTGGCTCCCTTGACAGTATCTGTTCCTTCATGAGT